AGGAAAGTCGACCCAAAAAAAAAAAAAAGGGCATAGCCACTTCGATTGCCGTCTTCACCCAAATAAAATGCAGGGACACTCCGGCCTAATCTTCAGTCTTAAAATGAGGCCCCTTGATTTGTAAGGAAAAAAAAAAAAAATGCAGGGACAGTTTATGACGCAGTCCAATATGCGTTCCTATGAGGGACGCTGGACCGGGGCAAGGTCACACTTGCACGGATTAAGAGATTCTGGCCGTTGATCTTTGCTATCTACGGTCAATATCGCTTAATTCGTGAAAGTGGGACCTACCTTCTTCCCCCGAATACAACGAACGGTCTTTTTATAGCTGTATCTAGACTGAAAAAAAGATGCCTCAAATACAGCTATAATGGCCGTACGTTGTATTCGGGGGAAGAAGGTAGCCCCCGGGGCCAAGTCCCACTTACCCGGATCCTCCATTCCCGACCGTAGATCATGAAAATCAACGGCCAGAAATGAAGAATCCGGTCAAGTGGGACTTGGCCCCCGGTTTCCGGCAGGTGCAGCTCCCCACGAATAGATCGGAGCCTAATTACGAAAAAAAAACTACACATACATTACAGTCTTCCCCCGAATACAACGTACGGTCATTATAGCTGAATTTAGACTTAAAGATCCACCAAATTCAGCTATAATGACCGTACGTTGTATTCGGGGAAAGACTGTAGTGAGAGGATGAGATAGATGAGTACTAGCAAGAAAAATGAAAAAAGAAAAAAAAATAAAAATAAATAATAATAATAAAATTGCACGGTCATTATAGCTGTAGTTGGGCCATCTTTGAGTCTAGATACGGAAAAAATGAATGTGCGTTGTATTGGGGAGAGGACGGTAGTACCTTCAATTCATGGGGACTGCGCTCCGGGTTCCCAGCAGGGGCCAAGTCCCACTAGCAGCGTTGATTTTCTTCAACGACCGAATCTGGACGTGTCTGTGGAGATGTGAGTGTGAGGAAACTCCACACGTCCAAATTCGGCCGTTGAGGAAACTCAATGCTGTCACCTTAGTCACCCGAATACAAAGCAGGGTCATTATTTCTGTATTTAGACGGAAAGATACCCCAAATAGAAGCTATATACTGACGGTACGTTGTATTCGGGTGAAGAAGGTAGCCGGACTTGGCCCCAGGTACAGCTCCACACTAATGGAAAAGAACAACTCCGAGCTTAGCTCGTAAGCTAAACTGGCTGATGCTGCCAGGATAACGCCGGCGACCAAGTCCCACTTGCAGCGGTTTAGTTCCCGAAGCCAGTACTGCACGACACTGTGTGACTTCGTGTGGCAATGTGCGGCTGGTTGACAAACGGCGGGTTAAATAGCGAAAAATAACAGGATTTGAACGTGCTGAATGACAGTAATGATGAAAGGCCGGTCAGTCTGATAACCAAGGGTGGGCAGCGGCATTGTCGGGAAAAACTTTTAGTTTCTGTGGAAATACAAGACGATGGACGGTCCCCACGTCTAGCCCGACTGGGGTCAGGCTACGGACGAGGACCGTTCCCTGCGAGTGAAAGAGCTCATTCCGACTATAACAGCCTATGGGAAAACGCTACATAGCAACATTCAATCCATTCCGTTCGAAGAAAAACATAACCGACCATGCGCCCTACGAGCAATGTCAATCAGCGGTCAGGAAACGTGTCGCACAAAACACAGGGTCCCGAACTGAGGACTAAACCGCTGCAAGTGGGACTTGGTCCCGGGTCGAATTGTGAGGTCCCCGGCCTCGACTCTGGTTTTTTTATAATAAATTGTAATGTTTAAAATTTAAAAAAAAAAAAAGAAAAAAAAAAAGAAAAGAAAAGAACAACTCCAAAACAAAAAGAGAACAAGAACAAGAGTCTTGATTACTCAGCTCTTTACTAAGGGTTGGACCCCACAGCTTTGCGGATGGAAAAATGGTTTTCCCACGAGAAGTGGGCAAAGCATCTTGGAAAGCTCGGAAAAGATTTTTCGGGGATCCCACGGCGGATGCTGTTTTGCGGCAAACTGTGTTGTTTCCTTTCCGTAAAAGGAAAGGCGTGGTTGGGACTTCCGGAAAAGGAAAGCGGTGCAATGTCCGTGCGTTTTCGCAAGGACCGCAGGAACAACCGGCCCGGTCCAGCGAGCGACATCGAGCGACGGTCGGTGGACGCTGTGTGACAGGCCTCCCAACGTATTTGCGTCACCGGAGGCCGTCGTTGTGCCGGGCCCGTCCATGCACCACGTTGGCGTGCGGACCGACCGTTGGGGAGATGGACGTTTGTTCATTTGCAGGAGCCGAACCGAAAACGTATGTTTTTTTTATTTTTTTTCTTTTCCCATGTATAGAAATTCAAATCGGTGCTCGAAATACGTGTCTGCGGTTCGGCTTGCGCGTCGTGCATCCTCGTGCTGTCCGCCATCGTCATCCCCATTCCAGCTCCATTGTCGCCCCCTGCAACCTCTCCCTTGCTGCGATGACTGGCGAGCAGTTGCGCGCACAGTTTCCTCTGCCTGCCTGCCTGGTGGTCCCGTGGCGGCGGTCGTTCCTGTGACGGACACAGCCATGGACGATTGGGATGATTCGACCTTCCTGCTGGTTTTCATCCTCTTGCAGTCGATGAACCACAGGAACGTCGTGGCTATGGCAATCGTAGAAGCGGCGACCGCGCTTCCACTCTGCGTGCCGGGCATGTCCGATGCCCTGTTGCTTCTGGCGGGGTCTGTGATGCATGGCATGTCCATGACTTCCATCGTCGCTGGCATGGTGGGCGCACGTATGAATAGCAGACGAAGGATCAAACGAAGTGGGGGAGTGCGGGAGGATCTTCAAAGGGTGGGAGGGCGTCACGAGAAGGTGTTCCAGCGGTTTTGCAGACTCCCTCGACCGTTGTTCCAAGAGATACTAGCTCGCATTGGTCCTCACATCGAGAGGCAAGCGACGAACTGGAGACAACCTGTGCCAGCAGCGCAGAAGTTTGCGTGCGCGCTCATAAGGTGGGCAACCGGCGGGTTCTACAGGCAGACGGCGCACAGTCTCGGCCTTGGTCTGTGTAGCGCTTTGAGCAGTAACGAGGACATCGCTGATGCTCTCATCAACGAGTACGGGCATCTGCTCCAATTCCCTACTGATGGAAAGCTTCAAGAGACACTCGATGCTTTCGAAAGGAAGGGATTCCCCGGTTGTGTCGTGGCAATTAATTGGTGTACATCGAGAAGCCACGGGATGAGAGGGGAGAGTGCTACTACGATCAGACGGGCCAATTTTCGGTTGTTGCACAGGTTGTCTATGACCACGAGTGCCGTATCGTCAGCGCATTCGTCGGCAGTCCTGGATCTGTCCATGACGGTCGTATTCTGTGAGTGTCGCCTTTGTATCGGCAGGCACAGTGAGGCACAGGGGTGTTCGCAACGGGTAGTGAAGTTCTTCGTGATGGGCGTAGGGTGGGTAGGTATCTCCTCGCAGACGCCGGTTACCCGCAGCTGCCATGGCTCATGACGCCGGTTGGTGGGACGAACAGGACACCGGCCGAGCAGGTGTACGATGACTGCCACACATCTGCTCGGTCTTGCATCCAACGCACATTTGGCAGATTGAAGGTAGTGTGGAGGAATTTCATAAGGACACAGATTGCAAACATGAAAACTTTCTGCAAAGAGTTCATGGCAATCTGCATCTTCCACAACATAATGGTCAATTCGAAGGTGCAGATCGATCCCGAACTGTTGTCTGATGACAGCAGCAGCGATGAGACGGACACTGTCAGCAGGCCCCGCCGCAGACGCCGTGTACCCCGCAGAGGGCCACCTCTTCCTCCGCCGCCTCCTGAGGATGATGCTGCGTGCGCCCTAGCGTTAGGAAAAAAGTTGAGGGACAGCCTCATCGGTCATGTTGCACATCATGCGCGTCTGCACGGAGCTCCTCAACCGAGCCCGTGGCAGCGTTGATTACGGCGGTGCTATCTGTCTCGCCCCTCGCATAGGTTGACATGGAAAACGCTGGGAAATGAAATTCTTCGTCCTCTGATTTTTTCATAATCTTTAATAATGTCTCTCTCTCTCTCTCTCTCTCTCTCTCTCTCTCTCTCTCTCTCTCTCT